TTTTTCTTTACATAGTTGAATGTGCTGACAACAAAATCACAAAAATTATCAATGGAAATCAAATGTATCAACCCATGGAGGTCTGGATTTGGAGTCACCCTCAAAATTAAAGTGGAAAACCACACTACAGGCTGATCCAACTTTGATGTAATGTCCTTAAAACAAGTCAAAATGAGGCTCAGTAGTGTGTGTGGCCTCCACGTGCATGTATGACCTCCCTACAACGCCTGGGCATGCTCCTGGTGACGTGGCGGATGGTCTCCTGAGGGATCTCCTCCCAGACCTGGACTAAAGCATCCGCCAACTCCTGGACAGTCTGTGGTGCAACGTGGCGTTGGTGGATGGAGCGAGACATGATGTCCCAGATGTGCTCAATTGGATTCAGGTCTGGGGAACGGGCGGTCCATAGCATCAATGCCTTCCTCTTGCAGGAACTGCTGACACACTCCAGCCACATGAGGTCTAGCATTGTCTTGCATTAGGAGGAACACAGGGCCAACCGCACCAGCATATGGTCTCACAAGGGGTCTGAGGATCTCATCTCGGTACCTAATGGCAGTCAGGCTACCTCTGGCGAGCACATGGAGGGCTGTGCGGCCCCCCAAAGAAATGCCACCCCACCACACCATGACTGACCCACCGCCAACCGGTCATGCTGGAGGATGTTGCAGGCAGCAGAACGTTCTCCACGACGTCTCCAGACTCTGTCACGTCTGTCACGTGCTCAGTGTGAACCTGCTTTCATCTGTGAAGAGCACAGGGCGCCAGTGGCGAATTTGCCAATCTTGGTGTTCTCTGGCAAATGCCAAACGTCCTGCACGGTGTTGGGCTGTAAGCACAACCCCCACCTGTGGACGTCGGGCCCTCATACCACCCTCATGGAGTCTGTTTCTGACCGTTTGAGCAGACACATGCACATTTGTGGCCTGCTGGAGGTCATTTTGCAGGGCTCTGGCAGTGCTCCTCCTGCTCCTTCTTGCACAAAGGCGGAGGTAGCAGTCCTGCTGCTGGGTTGTTATATAATAATAATATAATATGCCATTTAGCAGCCGCTTTTATCCAAAGCGACTTACAGTCATGCGTGCATACATATATATATATATTTTTTTGTGTATGGGTGGTCCCGGGGATCGAACCCACTACCTTGGCGTTACAAGCGCCGTGCTCTACAAACTGAGCTACAGAGGACCTCCTACGGCCTCCTCCACGTCTCCTGATGTACTGGCCTGTCTTCTGGTAGCGCCTCCATGCTCTGGACACTACGCTGACAGACACAGCAAACCTTCTTGCCACAGCTCGCATTGATGTGCCATCCTGGATGAGCTGCACTACCTGAGACACTTGTGTGGGTTGTAGACTCCGTCTCAGGCTACCACTAGAGTGAAAGCACCACCAGCATTCAAAAGTGACCAAAACATCAGCCAGAAAGCATAGGAACTGAGAAGTGGTCTGTGGTCACCACCTGCAAAACCAGTCCTTTATTGGGGGTGTCTTGCTAATTGCCTATAATTTCCACTTGTTGTCTATTCCATTTGCGCAACAGCATGTGAAATGTATTGTCAATCAGTGTTGCTTCCTAAGTGGACAGTTTGATTTCACAGAAGTGTGATTGACTTGGAGTTACATTGTGTTGTTTAAGTGTTCCCTTTATTTTTTTGAGCAGTGTATATTCACGCCTAGAAAAACTCCAGCCTTCTGTCATTACTGTCAAATTATAGAAAAAAAGAGGAAGAATGTTCTCTAGTAATACTAGTCAGTGTGAATAGGGCTGTCGCCTTAATAATAACTCCTGCAGAGTTATTTCTTCTAGTAAAATGATACACCAAATGTCGTCAAAATTTGAACTTGGGAACAGGAGTGGAGAAATATGACTTCTTTATTTCTGCATCTTGAGAGAATGCAATGCTCAGTTAGATACCATCTGTAGAGGTGCTGCCTTTATCATAAAAGCGGATAGTATTTCAACCTCATAAAATATGCATCGAAGCCGAACTGAAATCTTATCGGAAACAAGTTGGGTCGTTTTCACAGCTTTCTTTTCCCTTACAACCGGTTAAACTGATGTAAGTTGGACATTTTGCACATAAAATTGTTCGTTTTTTTTTGTTGCATTATTGTATTTTCTCCCCAGTCCCTAAACGTCTTTGCTCCGCGAAAGACAACAGAGAAAACTTTACCGATGTCAAGAGTTTATTTAGTCTTCTAGAGTGACATAATGACAAACGAGAAGCCACATGCATCTAATTATAGACAAGTTGACTAACACATAGCCTACCAAAATGTCGGAAATTATAAGCAGATACATATCTAAATGAGGCAACAACAAAAAATCCTGCACCCCCCTGTCAAAGAATCGTTCTGCAGTCTTTGACTGTAGCCTATAGCGCATTTTCTATATTTGATATTAGCGGGTTAGGGTTGGGTGCGGGCCTCAGATTTTCACTTTATCACATGTAGTCGGGCGGTTGCGGATGGGTTATTAGCAATTGCGGGCAGGAGCTGGTGAACAAACAGCTGACTCGCGTACTACTACCGTGTACGTGCTCTGGGGATATACTGTGTACCCTGTGTACCCGGGGTATCCAAACTCTCCACCTCTCTGAGGAGAGGATATCAGTGTGTGGTGCCACTAGCTCCCAGCTGCTGCCTCTCTATCCCAACTCCTCCCGTGTTCTGCAGTTGGAGTTGCACAGATGTTTTACTGTACCATACCACAGCAGCGCCCCTTAGACCGGCTGGGAGGCCATGGCACTGCCATCAGCACTCATTACCCCTGACACCACTGTACCTAATGACATCCCAACCACCACATCTACATACTCAAATGTACTAAATAAATACTAAATGGTTATGAGAAGTATGATGGTCACATTACAGTGGTATATAAATCTCAGTGTGATAAGGCGGTTTCCCCAACTGTTCCACTGTAATAATAATTTCCCATTACACTGTTCCCAGATTCCCCGTTGAACTAATTAGAAGTGTTAACACATCTCTCTGGCTCTGAGAAAATTATGTCCCCCCCCACTAGGAGAAATAAGATTAGGTTAGTACTGTACAGGGGCGCAACTTTGGTTTTAGAAGTAGGGGATACATCATTTTTTATGTTTTTTTAATCCAGTCTGATAAACACTCCAAACAGCCTACCTGACGCTTGGAGGCATTCACATGGTCCTAAAGCACACCATTGCCTCGTTTAGTATCGCATGGTCCTAAAGCACACCATTGTGGGGGGAATTTCAGAATGTGCTCCGTCCCCAGTGAAAGTTGCGCCCCTGCTACTGTATTATAATAGGCCTATGTGCTTGTGTGAAGTAGCTAAAGATCAATAAAATCAATGGGTATCATAGACGGATATACAGTGAATGACATCACAACCATCAGTATGACACACATGAGAATGTATCACTGTGTATGCCATTTTCCGTAACACTGTCATATGATATAGGAGATCGTTATTTAGGACTGTAAGTATTCATATAGAAAGGTCATAGTGACATCATAAAACCAACAACAGCTCTCTTGAGGGATTTGAAAAGTGGTCAAATGGTGCACAAATAACAAAACAGCTACAATAACAGCTAATATGTGACAGTTACTGTATAGCAGTATAATGTAGTGTTGTCACGATGCCAAAATGTTACTAACTATACGATACCAGGCCAAGTATCACGATATCGAGTAGTATCGAGATACCACGGGGGAAAAATCTGAGTGGCCTAACGTCCTGTTCGCCCCGTCCCCCGGACGCTTGTTCCAGTTTTCTAAACGTTCTGTGCATGTGCTACGCAAAAACCTGTCACTTAAATTCACATTTCTACTCAATACATCACATTGAATTCAACTTCACACTGTATAATAGAATACTGCATAGAATGCCTGATTTGCTCATACACATACTGCTTCCAACTTTTAAAACGTTTAACGCCAAACAGAATTTAAGGAGCACCAGAAATATATTTTTTAAATAGTTCAGGCTTACATTAGGCCATATAAATCCTACCTTTGAAGCACATCTCATGCGTAGCAGACCCTTTTTTTTTTCTTCCTGTGCCAATCAAATTTGCGTAGACCTACTGTCAAGTTACCACATTGTTAGCTAGCTAAGTAACATGACTGAACAACGTTGTTTGTTATCAAACCAATAATTAGCGACCCATGATTAGTTTAAGCCGGTGACATGGTTTGTGAAATGATGTAAAATGCTCACGAAGCACGATAGAAAGAATAAAAGGTATCTCCGGTATTATGGGTCGTATTTTTTTTTTACAGTTTCGGCTAGAGACAAGCCATTTCTTTGCTGTAAAGCTGCAAGCATGCCTGTCCATTTCCACTCTCTGGCACTCAGAGGCTGCGTGACAGTGAACTTGCAGTCAACTCAGACTGGCCTGTGCTCTTGGTTATAACAGTCGATGAAATGATGTCAACTTTGCTCACTCTGCACGCTGCTCGAATGCAACAAATGTAACAACAGAAGACTCATTAGGGTCTGCATCCACGCTCGCCACCACAGCTAAATTATATTTTAAAAACTGATTGAGGAATAGATGTGCAGGAAGAGTGGATGGAGATAGGATGGAGATAAGCAGGTGAGTGAGGGTGGAGGGTGGTAAGGGATGTGGCTGGCATGAAAGTGAAGTGGATATTATTGGACCGGCACATGTCAGAGACTAGTGGCTGTTGCTTAAATTCAACTGAATTTATGAACAAAACTGTCTGTATAAACATTTTATAACAGGCTCCAGCAGGTTTTTTTGATCGGTAGGGCCGAAAATATGGTAGTATCATATGAAACGGTACTACGGTATTCTAAAATATTGGTATCATAAGTATCATGACGTTTTGGTACCGTGATATTACCGTGGTACCGGTATACCGTGCAACACTAGTATAATGGTATAGCTTAGCCAACGCCTGAGGATGGATAAATGGAACCAATCAGATCAATTGACTTTATTGTCCTCACTGGGGTACTGGAGCCTACTGCTAGGCCTTACCTTGGGGAAGTCATCAATCTCATTGAGCCTCTTCTCTATCTGGAGGCGTCCTCCGTAGCGTGTCACCCCGTACACCACCGTCATCACCGTCTGCTTCACCACCTTCCTGCTGATGAAGCCCTCCAGCACCTGGGCGATCTTCAGACCCTTCTCCGCATCCCGCGCACGGAACTCCTCCACCTATAAAACCCACAGAGAGCACCAAACACATTGTTATCTTGTCCAAAGGGAATCGCACTGACTCAAAAGAGTATCACTCATTGACTCGGACAGGCGCAGAGCATAATATGGGAGCATAAGAGCACCACATTGACAGTACAATGATTTAGACTGTCAGTGACTGTGACACAATTACCACACTGACTCAATAGAGCAGTTGCTTTAGCAGAAGTTTGCTGTATAGCCTGTACAGAACCTGCTGTACTAGTTATAAGTCTACAGTCTGAATCAATGAACTGCAATCACTTTAAAGATACACTGGGTTTATCCTTCCTGTAAACATTGTAACCTGGATGATTGGGGCCCTGTGTGTCCAGGAGGTGTTTCTCCTCCCTAGGACTCAGAGCGGAGCTGATTTCATCAGCTGCTTTCTAATCAGAGCTCCCAGGGGTGAGTGGACAATGAGGTAGGAGGGAGCAGAGAGCACTGATACAGCACGATTCTGACGGGCAGCCCAGCTCATTGAGAACTCCTCAATGTACTCTGCTGCTCCAGCTAAATGAGGCTTGATGTTTTTGGCATGGCCACACTGTGCTTTTTTATCAAAACATAAACTCTCCGCTCCCACCGGTGCTAAAGCTCTGGATAAGAGCGTCTGCTAAATGACTAAAATGTAAAATGTAAATGTAAAATCAATAGGCTCACTATTAGCCTCAAATTGTTTCCCCTCTAAAATTTGCAGCTTGGTCAGAGCAGAATCCTTGGACTGTGCCTTCTGTGCTGCAGGGACTGGGGCAAAGAGGAGCTCTGGGGCAAAGAGGCAAAGTAAGCCTGATGTAAGGCTGAGGAGAGCAGGTTATTGTATCCTGTGCTAAGTGCTAAGGAAAAAGTAGACTTGCATTCCCTAGGAGTCCAACCACCAGGTAAATGAATAAAGAAGCAAGCTCGATAATGTGAGACACTCTTCAAGGACCTAAGAAGTTAAATAGAACATGAATTTTGGCATTCCAGCCAAGCTGTTTTGACCGTTGGTGTAAATGCTACAGTATAGGTGGTAAGATAAGGGTGTTTCAACCAGCTCAGCATTAGCTAGAACCCCTGCCCACTGCGCCCTCTGGTGCCCAGGCTGACTGACCTGCTGTGCCACCCCGCTGTAGACATCCTGGGGCACCTCGCAGGGCATGAGGTTCACAGAGGTGGCACCGATCACGTCTCGACCCAGGGCTGCATAGTGCTGAAGGCCGTTACACGAGCCATCCTGAGGGGGAGGAAAGAGAGAGAGAGAGAGAGAGAGAGAGAGAGGAGAGAGAGAGAGAGAGAGAGAGGGACATGCATCCCTATAACAGATCACAAAACTGGTGGATGGAGACGAGTAGACGGTGTAATACTGCTGGCAGCATTTGTTTCATTCAACAATGACATAGCCCACAGATTGTAATTTTCCAGAGGCTCTCGAGTATCACTTAATTTGCACATAAACGCTAACAGACCATTAAGTACCACTCAAATTACTATGCTCATTCCAAAAGACATCTGGACCTTGACAGCTCACAGACAGACAGACAGACAGACAGACAGAGAGAGAAGGATAGAAAGGAAAAGAGAAAGCAAATAAGCAACTTTTATTGGTGGCAAATAAAAGCTTAACGAGGCCATGGATGGAGTCCTGAAGCAGAAAGACAAGGTAGATGGGCTGCTCAGCTCTTTGTGAGGTTTTAACTGGGCATGGATTGTGCTTACCCCTGCAGATTGCTGTACCACCGGCTCTATTACACAGCCAGATCCCAGCCAACAGACAGAAGCTAACTGATGTCTGAACACACCATTTAGGCTGGATCAGCCAGGGCAGCCACTGAGCACAAAGTCAAGTGACATAAAAACAACAATTGATTACCTTGTTAACTTTGACGTGGCTTTTAAAATAACAGTATGATGCATGAGTGAGACATTTCCCGTTAAGAGGTTGTAAATGGGAGCAGCTATAGAAGGGTGTTGAAATAAAAATGGACCCCTAGACCCTAGGAGTAAGCAGTAAGGCAAAAGTTCCACCTACCCTATCAGAGGGTAGTATGGCGATATGACCATATTGCTTACACCTACCTATATAATCCTTTCAGATCTACATGGAGGGTCAAGTGGTAGGGGTTAGAGGTCAACGTCATTACCTGATGTACAGGAAAGTGGGAGATGAAGTGTGTGGGGTCAGGTGATCTGACGGCATTGGCTATCTCCATACAGCAGGCCAGTGCTTGCCAGGGTTCATCTGCATTCTGCCACCACTTCTTACCCTGCCATGGAAACACACACAACCACATAGACAATGCAGTATTAGATACACAACATCATTTTACTCAATGGTTAGATTATCTCCCAGTGCGTAGAATAATAATCACAATCTACGAGCTCCAACAGTATGATAAGAAACAGAAAACATTGTTAGCAGACTGACGTTGAGGGGGTTGTCTGCAGAGTCCAGGATGTCGTCCATGATGGTGTTGGCATACTCCAGCCTGCCAGCCAGCGAGCTGCGTTTCTTCAGGCCCGTCAGGTTGACCAGGTGGATCTTCAGCCAGTCCAGCCCGCCCGGCCCTAGGGGCTTCCCCTCCGCAAACACCAGGACGGCCCTGGTCACATCGCTGCCCAGGTGGTTGAAGTAGGGCGGGCACGGGTAGGTGCGCCCGCGGAAGTCCATGTTGTGGGGGAACCAGAAGACCTCGTCCCTCATGTGGTTGGCGATGGAGAGTTTATAGAGGGCGTCCATCCTGATGCTGTGCATCTCACTGCACTTCTTCTTGGCCTTGCCCACCTCCCTCTTCAGGTGGGCCTTCTCAGCTGAGGTGAAGGTGGCTGAGTCCTGCTGGTTGTAGCGGGGGATCTTGGGGGCCTCGGAGTTGGGCGGCGGGACGTCCAGCTTCTCGCTGCCCTTGTCGTTGAAGATGGAGATGATGATGTCCAGCAGGGGCTGGTTGATCCTCCAGGCTGCATTGCCCAGCTGGTTGAGGGAGTCCAGCACGGGGTGGAGGTCCGCGTCCTGGCACTTCTCCAGCAGGATCTCATGCTGGTTGGCGCCTTCCACTGCGCGCATCATCTTGGTGGGGGTGAGGAGGTAAGCGCCAAATTTAGCCGAGATCCAGGGCACGGGCGGGCACAGCATGGGCATCACGTAGGAGTCAAAGGTCAGCGTGGTGTCCATGGCATCCTGCTGCATCTGCGTCAGGATGGGGTGCGGCTTGATGAAGCCGACCTGGAGCCAATCACAACACGAGATCCAATTAAATACATTAAATATAAACACACAGCTACAGTACCAGTCCAATCAAATATTTGCTCAAAACAGAGCTGAACGTTTCAATTAAGCTTCAGTAAAACAGGCAGACTTATTTGCTGTGACAACACACATTAATCATGGCTTCAGCTAAGGCGTCTGGTTCATAGCAGTTTTAAATCACGTGACAGCCGGAGATGAACTAGCTACTCTCTGAAAGCCTTCACCATCCAAACCCAGACAGACAGAAACATTGTAGAGCACTACAGTATAAACCAACAGTGTAGAGAGAGAGAGCTAAAGAGAGAAAGAGAGATATTATAACAGATTCAGTCCAGTCCATCAACCAGGCAGAGCCTAACTGTGCATGTTGTAAAATCATTAGGCTGCACCCCTGCTGGCCTACCCTCTATCCCCCTCAGCCAGCACAGCAGCGGGAGGGGTGGCCAGAGACGAGCTTTGAAACCCACAGCGGACTCCACTGTCAAAGCACATCAAGTCCACCAGGTTGAGACGGCAGCAGGCGCTTTTTTCCCCACCAGGAACGAGGCTCGGAGGACAAAATAGAAAGTGTCTTAATTTCCTTGTCAGTTATCCCAGGGCAGTCAATCAGCCAGCCAATTAAGGGGACAGTAAAAAAAGGATTTGTTTGGAAGCCATTCGTCTTACTCAACTGACCCGCCGTCCACTCTTGCAGGGAAAGCGGTTTTATTATTCATATGCCTATGAGCCCAGACCGTGCAGGCAGAGAGAGTAATATGAGGGAGCTGAGCTGTGAGAGAGGAGAGCTGAAGACAGATGGAGAAGCTATGACAGACAGCCCTGTCCAAAACCAAGGTCGCCTGTTATGTTCTGGCTGCTTTTCACTGCTGCACTACCAATCGATTTCGCTCATAAATGGCGACATGAAGAATAAGGCATGACACGAAAATTAGTTGAGGAACCAACCCTAAGCCTGGGAAATTGGGTGAATAAATTGGGAGAAAATAACTGCCATAAATCACTTCAACTAACACTTCCACTCTAGTATATTTTTTACCTGTTTGTTACTGCGGAAGGTATACATGTGGTAGAGCACAGGGATGAGCTTTCGGTCGTAGGCAGAGTTGAGGATGTCGCTGTTCACCTTCATGTGCTTGACCATGAGGTCCACCAGGTAGGTACCCAGCTCCACCACCACCGCATGAGGCCAGTGGGTCTCGTCCCCCAGCAGGGAGGGACCAGAGCTATGCTCTGCCTCCAGCTTCCACCATCGCTCCCTAGGCAATACATCAAACTCCTGCAAGGTACAGTAAGGAGGTTTTCTTTAAGTCAAACAGTAGGTAAATTATTTTATATGTCTTCTAATTGCATGCAGATAAAGACCAGATGTGGAAGTGTCATACCTTAGAGTCATTGGCCAGTAGCTCAGTATATTCATTGTAGATATGGCTAAGCTTGTCCACCATCTGGTTGTGTACCTTCATGCGGATGCAGAACTTGTTGTGGACCCTGTTGCCCAGCTCCTTGGCCAGGACGTGGAGAGACTCCCCACTGGGAGGCAGGTTGGACAGACTCTGACCACAGACAAAGAGCAACATGATTAGGATCATCTGTATTTTATAGAATGACATTTTATGTAATGCTACAAAGTTGCTAAATAAACCTCAACCCTGAACTCTAAATACAACAGAGGTCTATAGGACCCAAGGTCATAGATACTGCTGGGATTCAGTGGGTTTTACCTGAGGGATCCAAGCACAGAACCTTGCGGAAAGCCAAATTCAACTTTGGAACATTCAGATTATTACCTTTCAAAAAGGTACGACTTAAAACAACAGATGTGTATATGACCCAAGGTCCAATATACTGATAGTATTCAGGGGGTTATATACTTGGACCATGATGTCCACATAGTCATTTTCATCCAGCAGACAGAGGTAGGGGTAGAGGCTGAGTCTGACGGCCTTCTGGGTGCTGCTGGCCAGGATCATCTTGCTCTCCCTCAGGGCCCCAACCAGGGCTTTGTGCCACACTAACCGCTGCTCCGTCAGAAGGTGCCGCTGAAACAGACACGTACAACACCATCAACATGGTCTCACTCTAATACTGCATGGTCCTGTGTTTTTCTGGTGGATGAAAACATGTTCTGCCTTATATCCACTCTGGACATGAGTTCAAAATTGACTTAAAGGTTAAACAACAAAACACATTAGATCTGTCGTTCTGTGGTATTCAGCACATACAGTTGCCAAATACACTGAGTGTAGAAAACATTAGGAACACCTGCTCTTCCGATGACAGACTGACCAGGTGAAAGCTATGACCCCTTATTGATATCACTTATTAAACCCACTTCAATCAGTGTAGATGAAGGGGAAGAGACAGGTTAAATAAGGATTTTCAAGCCTTGAGACATGGATTGTGTTTGTGTGCCATTCAGAGGGTGAATGGGCAAGACAAAAGATTGAAGTGCCTTTGAACGGGGGCTGGTAGTAGCAGGGTTTCCATTAGCCTGTAATAGCCAGCTTTTGTCCGATAAAATAATTGTGCCGGCCAATTGTCCGGGAGAAGAAGAAGAAATCCCATTGCGAAATAATGTTTTTAGCCTCTTCATTGATGAAAATACCAGTCGATGTAAATACTGGTCATGCTTTTCGGTCTATATGTTAATTTGCATAATTTAGTGGAATTAAATTGGCGTGTGTACAGTATATTCGTTATGTGTCTTATTTATCACACAGGTACAGCATACAGATACGGAGCCTTTGAGTGGAAAATATGTCAGACAGCGCAAGAGCTTCTGCTGCAGCATCTTGTGGTGCTTTCAAGACAACTGGGAAGTTTCCTGGGTAGTGGCGCCGCATTTTCCTAATGGAAACCCTGGGTAGTAGGTGCCAGGCGCACCGGTTTGAGTGTGTCAAGAACTGCAACGCTGCTGGGTTTTTCAAGCTCAACAGTTTCCCGTGTGTATCAAGAATGGTCCAACACCCAAAGGACATCCAGACAACTTGACACAACTGTGGGAAGCATTGGAGTCAACATGGGCCAGCATCCCTGTGGAATGCTTTCGACACATTGTAGAGTCCATGCCCCGACGAATTGAGGCTGTTCTGATGGCAAAATGGGGTGCAACTCAATATTTGGAAGGTATTCCTAATGTTTTGTACAATGTTTGGCACCCTTGCACTTTATTTGTGTAATTTTTACCCTCTTTTTCCCCTAATTTCGTGATTACGATCTTGTCTCATTGCTCCGAAACATGACCCGCCAAACCGCGATTCTTAACATCCGCTTGCTTAACCCGGAAGCCAGCTGCACCAAAGTGTCGGAGGAAACACTGTTCAACTGACAACCGAAGTCAGCCTGCAGGCGCCCGGCCAGCCACAAGGAGTCGCTAGAGCGCGATGAGCCAAGTAAAGCTCCACCGGCCAAACCGTCCCCTAACCCGCACGACGCTGGGCCAATTGTGCGCCGCCCTATGGGACTCCCGGTCTGGGATCGAACCCCAGGCTGTAGTGACGCCGCAACACTGTGATGCAGTGCCTTAGACCGCTGCGCCACTCGGGAGGCCCACTCTTGCACTCTTTCAATGGAGGTCAATGAAGCAGAATATTATGTTTTCTCTTTGAAAAACGGATTGAATGGCTATTTTTACCCTGTAGGCACCTCCAACTTACCACAGATGAGATAAATTACATTTTTGGGGTTCTGTGCAGTTGTAAATCAAACAAATACACGTGTGAACACAAGGTTTTTCAATTTCAACTTATTTGAGAAATAAATAGTGAATAATGCAAATGTGCCAATATATTTGGTGAATCTGTATGTGTTCAGATTCAGAGATGGTGAGAGAACAGAACAGAAGTCTCCAGTCAGGTTGTAAAACCAGGTCAGCCCTCCATCCAGGGGACTGTCATATTCCCCATCCATGCCAGGAGGAGAGAGCCCAGCTGACACCGAGCAGATAGGCTGGCCTGGCCTGTAAAGGTGATTCAGCTCCCTCCCCAGGAGAGCCCCATTACAATATATTATCATTCTGCTTTGCCTGCTGTAAATGTTGCAGGACCACCAGGGACCCTCGTCCTCCCGCTCCCAGTCTGAAACATTGCCTGGAAATGCAGGGAGAGTTTAAACTGTAAATGCCAATGCCTGGCCCCAGACCACTGAGATATGGGGAGAGGGACACATCGCAGGAATAATATAACTGATGTCTGGTGGCCTCAATGTATAATGTTCAAAGTTTTCACTAAAGTCTGGACATAAACTTTTCTCACAGTTGACACTGACTGAACATAAAAAAATCAACATCATGAAAATATATGATTTTGTCATTGGTAGTGCTGAGCGATTAGGGTTTTTTGAGGTTGGTTTGGTTTCGGAAAAAAAAAAGAAAAGAAGGGTTTATAAAAAAAAAAATACATGAATGCTGTAACACAGAATAAAACAATTAATAAAAGTCCCATAATGGTAGTGACTGTCCATTACTGCTTATCACTTACTAAGCATAATTTATTCACATTACTTTAATAAAATATTTCAGTTGTTCTGTATATTTATTATTTCATTCCAAGTCATCATCTCATCTCTATAGAGCTGCTGCCTATTCTGTCTGACAAAATCACTATTTTGTAGTTCTTCAAAGTAAATAAGGCGTACTTTTATGACTGCTGAATACCAACTATCAATCACTTAGATCATGTATTTTAGGGTAGATACCTCGCGAAGCTACAGCTGCTCTCTATAATCACCTCACGATCGCGCATTCTTCTCTCTTCTGTAGCAGGAAGCGTAAAAGAAACACAGACTGGACAAGTAGATGCAAAATGGATTATGGCGATTGTAGTTAATTACCGCATTTTATGCGCAAAACTATTTTTAGAATATTGGCCTGTTGGAAACTACAACTCCATACTACATCGCACAGTTCAGGCTGGACCTGATTTATCTCTATAGAATCTGTGCGATGTGTGCATTGAGCTCACAGAAAAATAACCGACATTCGGTTAATTGCACAGTACTAGTCATTGGCAATGGATTAAATACAATGTCCCCCAAACAATGTAAAGTGATTTGAGATCCTATATTAAATAAGAAATAAACCATGGTTGTGTTTCAGTGCATCACTACGGTGTATTACTATAGTGTATTTCAGTGTGTTACTATTCCATACTGTATTACTATAGTGTATTTCAGTGTGTTACTATTCCATACTGTATTACTATAGTGTATTTCAGTGTGTTACTATTCCATACTGTATTACTATAGTGTATTTCAGTGTGTTACTATTCCATACTGTATTACTATAGTGTATTTCAGTGTTACTATTCCATACTGTATTACTATAGTAGTATATTTCAGTGTAACTCCAGCTGTAGGTGGTCAGTTTGTTTACCATCTTGGCCATGTGTGGGGTGACAGGCTTCATGGCCTCCACAGAATGAATGGTGATGGTGCTGGCCTGCTCCATGCTCAGCTGACGGCTGAACCTCTCCCGCAGCTCGTCCAGGCTGAAGGCCATCTTGGGGTATTTAGCATCCACCCTCTGAAACACACACAGACAGAAAAGAGGGTCAGGGGGGCCATAAACAGACTGGGATCTCCAGGGAGAGACTACTACCTTGCATCACAGGAGACACACACTGGAAGGGAGCCTACATTAAACCTAATGTCTATTATTAGACTCAATAGTAGATACATTCTGGTAAATCAATGTTTCCTCGTGGAGAATACACACATAGCTTTGATACATTTTGGAATGTGTGCGTGGGAGTGTGTCCACGCTGTGTGTGTGTGTGTACAATCCTGGCCAAAGACAGGGTGTGTGTGCTGAATAATGAGGGAGTGTGGTGATGGGGAGGGTTCTGTCAGGTCAGGGTGCTGAGCTGATAGAGGGAGAAGCAGACAGAGCTCAGTCTGCTTCCAACACACAGAGCCTTACCCAGCCTTAATCACTAGACGCTCAGCACCACAAGACTATAAAGCAAAACAAATGGCTTATTATGCTCAGTGTTAAAAGGTATAGTCATGTCCTGTGTGCTCCATCAAATTGTATTACTGTGGGCTGGTACCTTGACCGATTGGCAATTCATTTCAGAGAAATCGAATGATATGTCTTTACATAGGAGTATGGATATTCACATGTTTACATCTAGAATTGGATGGTAACATTTAAAGTCAGTGTAGTTCTCTGTGTGTGTAGTGTGTGCTTATATTTGTCCTTCTTCACACATGTACAAGTGGCTATTAATACACGTGTGTGAATTGGAAATGTGTTTTTTGCATATCCCACTCTCCCCGAGACCCCTCAGAGAGCGGGGTCACAGCCAGGGTCTGCCATTCAACGGTGACTCTGGAGCAATTATGATGAAGTGCCTTGCTCAATGGCACAAACCGATTTTTCACCTTGTCGGCTCTGGGATTCCAACCAGCAACCTTTTGCTTACTGGCCCAACAGGGCGGGTGTGTGTAGTGCTTGGAGTGAAGGCACTGCAGTCACCTGACAGAGACAAATAAGGATGAAACGAGGGCACAAACTAATGCAAACCAAACTCACAAAGCCTTAATTAACAGCCAGTAGATATGCAAATTAACTTTCATCCTATCACCCTCCCTGTGGCTAATTAAAAAATAAATATGCTTATATCATTATGTGCTGCTGCTTTAAGCTTAACCAGCACCAAAAAGGTCTGGCAGCCACCCAATTAAAAACCCATAGAAAGGGACAGCGCATATACACTGACTATATAAATACAGAGCTGGCTAAGTGGTCCAGCAGGAAGGGTACGGAGTAGGCCTACATACTGAGAGGTGTGCTTTTACATGTTGTCATTTATTATTGAAAGAGGGCGTCAGTAGCCTGTGCAAGGACACCTGGGTATTATCAGTAAACACATTCAATAGGTGTTGATGTGGTACAGTGTGGTGCATTATTAACCCAGGAGACAAACACTAAATCTGTCCTCAAAAGGAGAAGAGACTGCACGCTATTGGACAGCAGCCAAAACAAAGGTTACCTGGGAGATACATCACTTGGGTATTGGCTCTACTGCACTACAGCATGGCATAATACTACCTTCTCTATGGAGTAGATGGGCTCTTAATCTTTTCTTTAAGACCAAGCTTTGCTGCTGAGAAACGACAGTATATACACTGACGTATTTGGACGCATCTCTGTGTAGGTCTCACACATTGTGTTTCAGTGTGTCTACGGCAGTTCATGCTGGGCCATGAGAGGGGACTGAATAATAAGCATTTGTTCATGTGCATCGTTGTTTGCGTGTGGAGAAGTGAGTCAGATGCTTGTTGCAGCCCAGGGGCTTTGAGCTTGTCCAGAGAGGGAGCAGTGCCATGCGATGCCCGGCTATCAGCATGGGCCAGAATGGGACAACTACCACGCCTCTCTCCCTTTCCTTCTTCTTCTCCTCACGCTCTCTGTTTTCTAGGGCCCCTGGCAAAGACATAACTGTCAGCTAAGCCATAGCCCAGGGCGGGAGAGGGCTCCAAAATGAATGACCACTCAAAGATGGCTGTGTGCTTTATAAGTATAGAAACACATTGCATACATATAAATCCCGACTGATCTAATCAAAAGGGGGTGAGGGCAATTAAGAAAAAAATAACAAAATCTCCAATGACAATGTCTAAATAGTAGATCAAACTGCATTTCCTACAACTTCATACATTTTCCAAATAGTACATTACACAAATTATATTTTAATGAGCTTTTGCCGACAGTAATTGAGACTTCTCATGAGACGGTGTTATGAAACCTTGGCACTGAGTAAACAACAACAACTCTCTCATCCAGTACTCAATTATGAAAGCAGTAGCAGATTGTAAATGTTGCAGATCTCGGGTGGGTTTGCAATGGCACCGCAGCTTATTCCCTATATAGTGCACTACTTTTGACCAGAGCCCCAAGGCCCTGGTCAAAAGTAGTGCACTATAAAGTTAATAGGGTGCCATTTGGTACGTATCGCCTATGTCGTTTGGCCTGTTTTACATGTAGTCAGCTGCACAGTGTTCTGTTGACCTTTCCAAGATATGATAGATCATATGCTCTCCTGGTACACCCCACCCAGCCCCCTTAGTTACACAGGAAGTAGGGCTGTGACAGTAATTGAATACCCATGTAACTGACAGTTATGGATGAAGACCATCATGAAAATAAATTAATTTTGGGAAAAACATTTTTATTTTTGTATAACATCAGTCTTCTTTTAAAAAAGGTTGGATGTGTCTGACTATTCATTAATTATTCAACAGCAGTATACAAGATTGTTCTGGCTCTGAGGCCTATAATGCACTACTGTTGTGTCAAATGGACAATGGGCCAGTCCTCTCCAACCTGGCATGGTATAATTTGATACAGAATATTTTCTTAATTTATAGACCAATCAACGCTGATAAATAGGCTATGGAAATCTTACGTGCATTTGTTTCTATTTTAATGATTGTCAATTTCATACTATCGCATCGCTGTCTCTCTCCCCTTTAGACTTCCCTTGTCAATTCATTATCTTATAGCCTACTTTAGGAAAGCCTAAGGTAGGCCTAGCTTTTTAAATACGTTTTAAGGAAAGGATAAATATTTGCTTGTGTCTGACATACGCTGGTTGCTTTGATTGACGGGTCCTTTTATGGGGGTGTGTGTGTGTGTGAGTTTGCTGATTCTGTCTATAGGCCTATATGTTCATTCAGAAAGTTTTCTAAAGTAGCCTGTCTGGACGCCATCTCTTTAGTAAGAATCAAACATTCCTGTCATGATTTAATCTTGTAAAATGCCAATTTTCAGTCACTTAGGCTACATTATTTCTCATTACGGCGTCCTCTCTTTAAAGAACATATGCCAATGCCACTGCCATTGAATGACCACAGCAGCAGGGTTTGTGACGTTATGTGAATATTTCAGGAAATTTTGAAGAAACCATCGACTTCATGTGAATGGATTTGTGCGTCAAAATAGGATCCGTATAATTTGTAATTTTTTGCATTAAAGCCAACAGACAAGGACAAGATAGGCATATCTTTATTTTGACTCCGTCATGCGCGAATGTTGTGTCAATACGAAAAATGTGATAGCTCCTCTCCAACCTGGCATTTCTTAATAAATAGATTAATATTTATAAGTAATAACCTGAATAATAATTAAATGCCATGATAATAACGTGTAATGGCTTGTTTCAAATACAGTAGGGAAAAAAAGTATTTAGTCAGCCACCAATTGTGCAAGTTCTCCCACTTAAAAAGATGAGAGAGGCCTGTAATTTTCATCATAGGTACACGTCAACTATGACAGACAAAATGAGAAGAAAAAAAATCCAGAAAATCACATTGTAGGATTTTTAATGAATGTATTTGCAAATTATGGTGGAAAATAAGTATTTGGTCAATAACAAAAGTTTCTCAATACTTTGTTATATACCCTTTGTTGGCAATGACACAGGTCAAACGTTTTCTGTAAGTCTTCACAAGGTTTTCACACACTGTTGCTGGTATTTTGGCCCATTCCTCCATGCAGATCTCCTCTAGAGCAGTGATGTTTTGGGGCTGTCGCTGGGCAACACGGACTTTCAACTCCCTCCAAAGATGTTCTATGGGGTTGAGATCTGGAGACTGGCTAGGCCACTCCAGGACCTTGAAATGCTTCTTACGAAGCCACTCCTTCGTTGCCCGGGCGGTGTGTTTGGGATCATTGTCATGCTGAAAGACCCAGCCACGTTTCATCTTCAATGCCCTTGCTGATGGAAGGAGGTTTTCACTCAAAATCTCACGATACATGGCCCCATTCATTCTTTCCTTTACACGGATCAGTCGTCCTGGTCCCTTTGCAGAAAAACAGCCCCAAAGCATGATGTTTCCACCCCCATGCTTCACAGTAGGTATGGTGTTCTTTGGATGCAACTCAGCATTCTTTGTCCTCCAAACACGACGAGTTGAGTTTTTACCAAAAAGTTATATTTTGGTTTCATCTGACCATATGACATTCTCCCAATCCTCTTCTGGATCATCCAAATGCACTCTAGCAAACTTCAGACGGGCCTGGACATGTACTGGCTTAAGCAGGGGGACACGTCTGGCACTGCAGGATTTGAGTCCCTGGCGGCGTAGTGTGTTACTGATGGTAGGCTTTGTTACTTTGGTCCCAGCTCTCTGCAGGTCATTCACTAGGTCCCCCCGTGTGGTTCTGGGATTTTTGCTCACCGTTCTTGTGATCATTTTCACCCCACGGGGTGAGATCTTGCGTGGAGCCCCAGATTGAGGGAGATTATCAGTGGTCTTGTATGTATTCCATTTCCTAATAACTGCTCCCACAGTTGATTTCTTCAAACCAAGCTGCTTACCTATTGCCGATTCGGTCTTCCCAGCCTGGTGCAGGTCTACAATTTTGTTTCTGGTGTCCTTTGACAGCTCTTTGGTCTTGGCCATAGTGGAGTTTGGAGTGTGACTGTTTGAGGTTGTGGACAGGTGTCTTTTATACTGATAACAAGTTCAAACAGGTGCCATTAATACAGGTAACGAGTGGAGGACAGAGGAGCCTCTTAAAGAAGAAGTTACAGGTCTGTGAGAGCCAGAAATCTTGCTTGTTTGTAGGTGACCAAATACTTATTTTCCACCATAATTTGCAAATAAATTCATAAAAAATCCTACAATGTGATTTTCTGGATTTTTTTTCCTCAATTTGTCTGTCATAGTTGACGTGTACCTATGATGAAAATTGCAGGCCTCTCTCATCTTTTTAAGTGGGAGAACTTGCACAATTGGTGGCTGACTAAATACTTTTTTCCCCCACTGTAGGTTCTATTAAGAAGCATATCCATGTAAACAAGTGTACAAAGAATTGTCAAGTCCCCTTTTTACATAGGGCCTTATAGGCCTGAGACAAATTGTAACATACATTTAAACAAATTGGACACATACGAAAAATAAAGGAAAAAGGAAAGAAATGGAAAAACCAGTAAGTGTAATTCAATAGTGAAATTCCACGTTTCTTTTGAGTCTGATAGCCTATGCTTTACATTGTGTTAATACGAAAATGTTACAATCCTCTCCAATTCTTAATCTGTATACTAGACTAATATTTAGAGGTAATAACTTGAATAATAATAATGAAATGCTCCTGATAATAACTAAGTGTAATGGTAATAGTGAAGTTGCAGAGAAAATCCACGGTTATGTTGGTGACCATGTGCATTGGCCTGGCAAATTACCTAACCTCAAATTCCAAGACAGTCACAGACCTAACAGGAAGAGAGCCAGGCATATCATTACTGGCATGGCACCCTGCAAAATGTCAGCCTGACAAATAAGTCGGGTTGGGAATTGCCAGGGACCTCACGATACGATATTATCTCGATACTCTGGTGCCGATAGGATATGTATTGCGATTCGATACTGTGATTTTATTGCGATTCAATGTTCCAAAAAAGAGGGAGCCAAGATAAAACGTTTTGATCAGTCATGGAAATAGAAGTACTAAAAGCAAATTGGCTGCCTATTAAAAAAGATAATGGAGAACAAGCTATGAAGGAAAAATAATGGAGTTTTGGTGCAGGTACAGCCAACTAGTGCAAAAATAATATTGCGATATTGTCAAAACGATACGATAGATCATCAAAAATAATATCCCGATATGTAACTATACCAATTTTTCTCCCAACACTAAAAATAAGAGAATGAACGTAGTGCAAGCACTGCTAAAAATACAACCCTGTACTGTAAAAAGGCTGGAAATGAATCACATGAGGAAGCAGAGCAAAGCAGCACCTCCAGATAGAGAGCAGCGTTTTGCCACCACGTCTAAAAATGGATACCATGACACCTGTCTGAAAGGAGGAGTGACAATCATATCATTCATAGTCATGCTGCTAGTGCTAGGGTCTCCTGGCAGGCACATTCCTCATTCACACTCCTGCTCCAACTCTACACAGTCAGCCCAACTAAGCACTTATTTAACACCCACTTCATCACTACTCCTTGAACCCTACTTTGTCAGTTGTTGTTTTTCTATGATGATGTCATCATCAATAAATTCATCAAGCTTTCTCTGTTCCCGAATATTGTTTTCCTTTGCTCTACCAACAGACTGTATGTAGGACAACAACATGAGGTCTAAAAAGAAGTGTACTCTGTATGTTCAAAAATACATGCAGCTAATGCACCATGATTTCATAGAGCTTGTTATAGGACATAAAAACATGACGTAGTCCAACCACTGCTTTCAGAGAGCCCTCCAGGCATGGACTGAGAAGACGCAAGGAAGGGGGCCAAAGAGACATTTCTGTCTCCAACAATGGAAGTAGTGTTCTATTCTATGTCATATCTACTTACTATATATGTGATAATTATTATATTTGACTCTATTCTAGTCGACTCTACTCGTGGGATGAGGTGTCTACTCTATTCATGGGTTGAGGTGTCTACTCTACGCATGGGTTTAGGTGCCTACTCCATTCATGGGTTGAGGTGTCTACTCTACTCATGGGTTGAGGTGCCTACTCTACTCATGGGTTGAGGTGTCTACTCTACTCATGGGTTGAGGTGTCTACTCTACTCATGGGTTGAGGTGTCTACTCTACTCATGGGTTGAGGTGTCTACTCTACTCATGGGTTGAGGTGTCTACTCTACTCATGGGTTTGAGGTGTCTACTCTACTCATGGGTTGAGGTGTCTACTCTACTCATGGGTTGAGGTGTCTACTCTACTCATGGGTTGAGGTGTCTACTCTACTCATGGGTTGAGGTGTCTACTCTACTCATGGGTTGAGGTGTCTACTCTACTCATGGGTTGAGGTGTCTACTCTACTCATGGGTTGAGGTGTCTACTCTACTTATGGGTTGAGGTGTCTACTCTACTCATTGGTTGAGGTGTCTACTCTACTCATGGGTTGAGGTGTCTACTCTACTTATGGGTTGAGGTGTCTACTCTACTCATTGGTTGAGGTGTCTACTCTACTCATGAGTTGAGGTGTCTACTCCACTCATGGGTTGAGGTGTCTACTCCATTCATGGGTTGAGGTGTCTACTCCATTCATGGGTTGAGGTGTCTACTCTACTCATGGGTTGAGGTGTCTACTCTACTCATGGGTTGAGGTGTCTACTCTACTCATGGGTTGAGGTGTCTACTCTACTCTACTCATGGGTTGAGGTGTCTACTCTACTCTACTCATGGGTTGACTTGTGTCCTACCTCTGTGTAGAAGTCTTTGACTAGTGGTGAGGAGCAGGTTTGCAGGATAGTGTTGACGCTGGGCTGGAAGTCTGGTTGCACGGTGTGGATGGCCCTGAGCACCATGTCCCTCTCATCCTGCCTGAACACACAGTGACTGAACAGCTCGTCCACAGGCAGGCCATCCTCCTCCATCTGACGCAGGACCCTGAGGACAGGCCAGGAAACACAATGTCAGAGACAAGTTAGAAAATAAACAGTAAAAAGTAGCATTTTGCCATATTTATTTCAAATATCCAGTAGGCCTACTTCCAGACGACAAGTGCCTTGGGGGTAAAGGCAACAGATCGATTACAAGTGTTGATAACCATCTTTAGGTAATATATCTGATTTGCTTCAAAGTTCAAAGTTAGGAATGCACTTTTATCAGTATAAAAACATAGAAGTCAACCTTTTGACCTTAGTCTTCATAAGGTGGGGCCAAGTGTCTCATATACACAGTGTACAAAACATTAAGAACACTTTCCTAATATTGAGTTGCACCCCCTTTTGCCCTCAGAACAGCCTCAATTCGTCGGGGCATGGACTACAAGGTGTCGAAAGCGTTCCACAGGAATGCTGACCCATGTTGACTCCAATGCTTCCAAGAGTTGTGTCAAGTTGACTGGATGTCCCTTGGGTGGTGGACCATTCTTGATACACACGTGTTGAGCGTGAAAAAAACAAAGCAGCGTTGCAGTTCTTGAAACAAACCGGTGCCCCTGGCACCTACTACCATACCCTGTTCAAAGGCAGTTAAATATTTTGTCTTGCCCATTCACCCTCTGAATGGCACACATACACAATCCATGTCTCAACGCTTAAGAATCCTTCTTTAACCTGTCTCCTCCCCTTCATCTACACTGAATTAAGTGGATCTTAAATGTTTTGTACACTCAGTGTAGTTCACAGTGGCCCCATGGTGACTTAATGGTCCTTAATGGTCCTCTGTAGCTCAATTGGTAGAGCATGGCACTTGTAACGCCAGGGTAGTGGGTTTGATCCCCGGGACCACCCATACGTAAAAATGTATGCACACATGACTGTAAGTCGCTTTGGATAAAAGTGTCTAGTAAATTGCATATTATTATTATTATTAATCAAATTGAAAGCACCTCTGATATCATTATGCATGGCTTTATTAAAGCTGATTGACAATGGCAGCATAACAAACAGAATATTTGCATTGGCACTTGGTGCTTTCAGACGCATTGGAAATATCAGGCAGTCCACAGACAGATGGTCACAGAGCACATCGGTGTCATGTTTATTCAAATGATATCATCCAGAGACTCCACACCTGCCATGAATGAACTGCTCAATTCAGGAGACAGCAATGTGCAAACAGCCAGTGGAAAACAGATGGTAGTGTATGGAGCAACAACTGAAGCTGAAAAGGGAGGGAGGAAACTAAGGCCTGACTCATTTAAAGCAGACCCTTGGATAAACGATGGAGCCTTTGTGAACAAAACAAGAGACTGAAGTGTACTCCTAAGCTAAGTCAACCTAAATGTCTGGTTTTAAACTGTTGCTATATGTGACTGCTTCAGAGCACTGTATGGATGCTTAACATATCTGCTGTCTGTCAATAGGAAGTAAGAGTTATCCTTGGCTGTGGCATGTGATGTGTAACACCTTGATGTAACCCAGAGACAGAGGGCCCTGGTGGGCTTATGTGTTACCACTGCCCTCTAGTGGAGTAAGACAGAACACTGTGACAAAGGGATGGAAGGGTGTAAGATTTGTCATCAGCCTCTGACAATGAGAGAGCCTTCCTTTACCCTCCACACCTTTCTGCAAGACCGTGATTAAATAACAGGACCTTAATTACCTTCTACTGGAAATCCTGCTTAAATACCCAGCAGCCCCTCGTCAGGCTAACACAATTAGCAGCTGCCACACTGCCACCACTCCAGTTCAATTCTCTAGGCATTCACAGAACCAAATGGAATCCTCCCTTTATATTACATTTTAGTCACTTAGTAGACGTTCTTATCCAGAGCGACTTACAGGAGCAATTAGGGTTAAGTGCCTCGCTCAAGGGCACAGACAGATTTTTCACCTAGTTGGCTCGGGGATTCGAACCAGCGACCTTTCGGTTAACGCGCTTAACGCAAAGTGAGTGTCTCTTGAACAAAGAGGGGATTAGGCCTTGTTCTCTCAGTGCAAAGAATTAGAGTTGGAAAAACTTAGATACATTTGATTTTTTCCACAATTACTTATAAAGGGATTCTACCCTTTACATCAAAACCTTCACTCCAAATCAAAATTCCAAATCTAAAACCTTTATTTTGGACAAAATTACCTGGAAGGATTATTACTACCAAGGACTATCCAGAAAAAACTTCTGGCAAACCAAAACCTGCAGAAGAAACACAGCAGAAACCTGGAAATACCATCCAACCCAAAACGGAGTGAGTAATGTTCAGTCTGAAGCCAAAAAGTAAAATAATAATCTCTAGGTACTTGTGTTATATAAATATATATATGGTAGTAAGTCACACCAAAGATTTGAAGGCACCGATCAATAGCCAAGATACTCAGCTTTCCGCAGACACCCTGCTTTTGCAGATAGGGGCTACCATTCTCATACCAGACTGAATTGAATAAAACATAATCTAATATGGGGACTTTACATTTAAGAGGTTTTGAAGTCAATAAGGCTACTAAGCTACCAAGCTTCTTAGGACAGGATAGATGTCCCAGCTGAAACTTCAATTAGCACCGAGGTGCGACGTGAGCGGTGTGAAAGCCCGTGAACCCAACAATGGCAGCCCCAGGGTGGAAACTCAGAACAATAGACATTGAGGACCATGAAACTGAAAAAATCTCTGTCAACGTGTACAAGTCTGGAACAGTGGTGGTACAGGGCAACCTCGAACAGTTTCAGCAGGACTTTTACAGTATCAAAGAGAGAGCACAGCAGGATGCTCTCTTTTGGTGACGACTCCCCCATCCTGAGTCTGATCACACCTACTCCTCAAACTGCCCTGCAGACGAGCAGCCCCAAGAGGAATGTCACCCCCCAGCACTGAGCAGACCCAGGTCCCACAACTGCGCTGTTCCTCCATTGTTGAGGATACATTCACAGAGCTGGAGAGAGAGATGGTGGAGCACAGACCAAACAAAACAGACCAGCACAACACTCCCCCCCAACAAGACCCAGAGGGCTGAAGGGGGAGATAGACGGCTGTCTCAGAGAGCTGGCTGCACGCCGTACTGAGGTGAGAGAATTCAAGCAAGAGAGAGGAACACATGGTACAGCTAACAGTACTGAAGATGGAGGGAGAGGAACACACAGAGGTGAGAACGCTGAGACGCGACAGAGAGCAAGACACTCCCCCAAAGAAGCCAGCAGAACAGCCCACTTCAGACCCGGACCACAACCACATTTGTACATTTACATTTTAGTCATTTAGCAGACGCTCTTATCGAGAGCGACTTACAGTTAGTGAGTGCATACATTATTTTATTTTATTTTTTCATACTGACACCCCGTGGGAATCGAACCCACAACCCTGGCGTTGCAAACACCATGCTCTACCAACTGAGCTACATCCCTGCCGGCCATTCCCTCCCCTACCCTGGACGACGCTGGGTCAATTGTGCGCCGTCCCATGGGTCTCCCGGTCGCGGCCGGCTACGACAGAGCCTGGATTCGAACCAGGATCTCTAGTGGCACAGCTAGCACTGCGATGCAGTGCCTTAGACCACTGCGCCACTCGGGAGGTCACCACCCCCTCTTAACAGCCCCCATGTCAACTACCCTGATTGCCCTCCTAAAACCCCCCCGTGCTCCTTATTGACTCAAATGGGAAATACATTCAAGAGAATAAACTTCTTCCCAAACACAAAGTGGCTAAACTCTGGTGCCCAAACACTAGGCGTGCCCTGGAACTGCTGTCAGAGGTCAGACTAGGGTCCCCCAGCCACATCATAATTCAAACGGGCACAAACAATCTGAGGGACCAGCAGGACAGGGTGAACACAGCACTCAAGAGAATGATCGAAAAAGCTTCTTCCACTTACCCTAATACACGAGTGGTCACCTCCACCCTGCTACCATGAAAATACCCTTTACTCAGCGCATTGTTGAAGCACCTTTGGCAGCGATTACAGCCTCAAGTCTTCTTGGGTATGACGCTACAAGCTTGGCACACCTGTATTTGGGGGGTTTCTCCCATTATTTTCTGCAGATCCTCTCAAGCTCTGTCAGGTGGGATGGGGAGCGTCGCTGCACAACTATTTTCAGGTCTCTCCAGAGATGTTAGATCGGGTTCAAGTCCGGGCTCTGGCTGGGCCACTCAAGGACATTCAGAGACTTGTCCCGAAGCCACTCCTGCATAGTCTTGGCTGTGTGCTTAGGGTCATTGTCCTGTTGGAAGGTGAACTTTCACCCCAGTCTGAGGTCCTGAGTGCTCTGGAGCAGGTTTTCATCAAGGATCTCTCTGTACTTTTCTCCGCACATCTTTCCCTCGATCCTGACTAGTCTCCCAGTCCCTGCAGCTGAAAAACATCCCCTTAGCATGATGCTGCCACCACCATGCTTCACCGTAGGGATGGTGCAGGTTTCCTCCAGATGTGACACTTGGCATTTAGGCCAAAGAGTTCAATCTTGGTTTCATCAGACCAGAGAATCTTGTTTCTCATGGTCAGAGTCCTTTAGGTGCCTTTTGGCAAACTCCAAGCGGGCTGTCATAAACATTTTACTGAGGAGTGGCTTCCATCTAGCCACTCTACCATAAAGGCCTGATTTGTAGAGTGCTGCAGAGATGTTTGTCCTTCTGGAAGGTTCTTCCATCTCCACAGAGGAACTCTGGAGCTCTGTCAGAGTGACCATCTGGTTCTTGGTTATATCCCTGACCAAAGCCCTTCTCCCCCGATTGCTCAGTTTGGCCGTGCGGCCAGCTCTAGGAAGAGTCTTGGTGGTTCCAAACCTCTTCCATTTAAGAATGATGGAGGCCATTGTGTTCTTGGGGACCTTCAATGCTGCAGATTTTTTGGTACCCTTCCCCAGATCTGTGCCTCGACACAATCCTGTCTCGGAGCTCTACGTACAATTCGTGGACATGCGCTGTCAACAGTGCGACCTTATATAGACAGGTGTGTGCCTTTCCAAATCATGTCCAATCAATTGAATTTACCACAGGTGGACTCCAATCAAGTTGT